TCCATTTCCTGGAACCCGAAGCTGGTCTAAAAGATAAAGTCTACCTGAAATGAAGGCAGGGGCCACAGGGGCCAGGATGGCTGGGGCATCAAACTCCCATATGGCCGATGGTGGCTCAGTCCTGGACCAGACACCTGAAACTCACTGGGTGCTGTACGCGCGTCCCCAAAGTCCCGACAGAGGACAGAGGGCGTCTCCCCTGGGGCGCTTTCTCACTTTCTCTCTGAGCACAATATCCCATCAAGGTCTCAAAGGAAACAGGACCTGAGAGTGAGGGCCTCCCTGCCCCGCCCTGGTCCTGGCCGTGGGGACAATTCCTGCTAGCTGTAGGGCAGCTGGGGGAGGCAGACAGTAAATAAATAAATTAAATAAATAGAAAGCACAGATGGCACCGGGCCACCTCGCAGAACCCGCCACCACTTACTTACCAACACAGTTTTTTTATTGCCAAAGGCCGTGTGTTCTCACCAGAGAGACACAGAGACAGGGAGGGAGAGGGAGAAAGCACCCCCAGAAGGCCCGGTCACACCACAGTCCCTTCCGCTCCCTTCCTGTGTCCTGTCGGGATTCAGGGCACACACGCACACACGCACACACACACACACACACACACACACGCACACACGCACACACGCCTGGTGTTTTCCTAGTTGCCAGGGCCGAGCTGTGCTTTTTTTTTCTCTCTTTTGTTTTACGGTTTTTGCCATAGGGCGCATGTGCTTACCAGGGAGAGAGAGAGAGGGAAGGGGAGAACTCAGACCCCGCCCCCCGGGGAAGGGCCACCCGCCATTGCAGCGATCGCCATGGAAATCCCCTCTCCTCCAGCTCCTCTTGGGATTCTGGGCACGCACGCACACGTGTGCAGTGTGAATTTCAAGCCGCCAGGCCCAGGACTCGAACCTTGGTAGACCGTGTGGGAATCCAGTGCCTTAACCTCTATACCCCCTGCTGACCCCAGGGCGGAGGTTCTCACGGCACTCACCCCTGTGGTCTGCCACCCTCCACCGCGAAGCTGTGGGGCAGACCCAAAGCCGTGGGGCGTTTTTGCTGGGTTCACTCCTGCACGGAGTTAGTGCCTCCTGCCTGTGTGTGACTCGGCCCGCTCTGCACAGGCACGTTCGCGTCGGGCGTTTGTCACTTAATGTCGCATCAGGAGCCTTTTTATGTCACTAAAAACCCTTCCAGAGGCGCACGTTTCAGGAACGATTTACCTGCCAGCCACAGCTTCACAGGCAGCCTGCGACACAGCTGCAGGCCTCCTCGGAGTTCCCCACCGCCCCCACGCCCCGGGCCTGGGAGGTGCTCACCTACCTGGCTGGGCTCCGCCCGCCCCCAGAACGCCAGGTGCCTGAGGGCAGCGGCCACGTCTGCTTTTACCCCTGCTGGCCCCCCAGTGCCAGGAGCAGGACAGGGACACGGCGTCCCCAGGGTCCTGCTGGTGGAAGAGCACACATACATCCCCGATTGCACCTCAGATCCCCAGAAAGAGAACTTCGGGGTCCCAGGGAGAAGGGGTTTTTATTACCATTAGTATTTTAGGTTTTTGCCATAGGGTGTGTGTGCTCTCCAGAGAGAGACAGGGAAAGTGAGAGATTACTCCCCGGGGCATGACCACGCTGCAGTCTCTCCTCCACTCTCCTCTCAGGATCTTGGGCACACACCCACACATGCCCAGCATGATTTTCAAACCACTGGGTCCAGGACCCGAGCTGCAGTCAGCCATGTGGAAATCCAGCCATCTTACCCACCATGCCGCCTGCTGTCCCTGGGAGCAGGTATTTTTAAGGCTTTACTTTTTAAAACTTTTCTGTCTTTCTTCTGTGAGTGACAGACAGGCACCCAACCAGCACACACACACACACGCACACACGCACACACGCCTGGTGTTTTCCTAGTTGCCAGGGCCGAGCTGTGCTTTTTTTTTCTCTCTTTTGTTTTACGGTTTTTGCCATAGGGCGCATGTGCTTACCAGGGAGAGAGAGAGAGGGAAGGGGAGAACTCAGACCCCGCCCCCCGGGGAAGGGCCACCCGCCATTGCAGCGATCGCCATGGAAATCCCCTCTCCTCCAGCTCCTCTTGGGATTCTGGGCATGCACGCACACGTGTGCAGTGTGAATTTCAAGCCGCCAGGCCCAGGACTCGAACCTTGGTAGACCGTGTGGGAATCCAGTGCCTTAACCTCTATACCCCCTGCTGACCCCAGGGCGGAGGTTCTCACGGCACTCACCCCTGTGGTCTGCCACCCTCCACCGCGAAGCTGTGGGGCAGACCCAAAGCCGTGGGGCGTTTTTGCTGGGTTCACTCCTGCACGGAGTTAGTGCCTCCTGCCTGTGTGTGACTCGGCCCGCTCTGCACAGGCACGTTCGCGTCGGGCGTTTGTCACTTAATGTCGCATCAGGAGCCTTTTTATGTCACTAAAAACCCTTCCAGAGGCGCACGTTTCAGGAACGATTTACCTGCCAGCCACAGCTTCACAGGCAGCCTGCGACACAGCTGCAGGCCTCCTCGGAGTTCCCCACCGCCCCCACGCCCCGGGCCTGGGAGGTGCTCACCTACCTGGCTGGGCTCCGCCCGCCCCCAGAACGCCAGGTGCCTGAGGGCAGCGGCCACGTCTGCTTTTACCCCTGCTGGCCCCCCAGTGCCAGGAGCAGGACAGGGACACGGCGTCCCCAGGGTCCTGCTGGTGGAAGAGCACACATACATCCCCGATTGCACCTCAGATCCCCAGAAAGAGAACTTCGGGGTCCCAGGGAGAAGGGGTTTTTATTACCATTAGTATTTTAGGTTTTTGCCATAGGGTGTGTGTGCTCTCCAGAGAGAGACAGGGAAAGTGAGAGATTACTCCCCGGGGCATGACCATGCTGCAGTCTCTCCTCCACTCTCCTCTCAGGATCTTGGGCACACACCCACACATGCCCAGCATGATTTTCAAACCACTGGGTCCAGGACCCGAGCTGCAGTCAGCCATGTGGAAATCCAGCCATCTTACCCACCATGCCGCCTGCTGTCCCTGGGAGCAGGTATTTTTAAGGCTTTACTTTTTAAAACTTTTCTGTCTTTCTTCTGTGAGTGACAGACAGGCACCCAACCAGGGGGTGACACTGCGATCCATGCCCAGCCTCCGCCAGCCCCGGGTCCTGGGTGTGCACACGCCCGGTGTGTTCAGGGCAGTCTCAGGACTCTGTCTTCGGACTCCCTGTGTAGACGTCCTCGAACCCCTCCGCCTCCTAACACCAGTCACCCTCTGGGCCGTGGGCTCCGGGAGGCCGGGGCTGGGCTGCCCTCTCGGTGCCCGGCTCAGACACCTGGCAGAGCAGGGGCTTGCTGGCCCCGGAAGCACATGCTGCATGACAGGGAACGGCCGCCCGTCCCGAGGCCTGCCACTCGTCCCCCACAGCCGCCCCACAGGCCTGCAAGGATAGGAGGTGCATCCCACCGAGGCCAGGGTCAGCCTCCAGTTCCCGCTAACTTTTAAAAGAATTTCCACAGAGAGAGAGAGACTCCCTGCAGCACCGTCCGTCACACCGCGACCCACCCAGCCTCCACACCCGGTGCGTCCAGGGAGTCCTTGGGAAGCAAGCCCAGGACCCTCCCCGGGTGTACATGGCCGGGCGTCGGCTCACGCTGGCACCAGCTGGCCTTCCCCTGCCCTCCTGTTGTCCTCTGCCGGGCCCCAGCCACCCTCCTGGAGCTCCCAGCCTGGCCGTCTTCAGGGCTCTTACAGGCCGGGGCGAGGGCGAGGGGCCATGTAAGCTCCAGTCCCTTCCAGCTGAAAACTCACTGGGAGTCACCTAACGCCTTAGCACACGTCAGTGGGGACCCAGGTAGGGGCGCACAGGGTCCCAGCGGGCAGGGGTGTTGTGGTGTATCGGCCCTCGCCTTGGGGGACTCCTCCATCTGCCCTTATCCACAGCCAGCTGACCCCACTCTTCCCTCCCGACCCCAAACTGGGGTCTAGAGACGAGTGACCAACCCCTGAACTGGGCGTGGTCCTCCCAGGCTCTCAGGCCCTGGCTACCCGGTCCCGCGGCCCAGCCTGCGTCCACAGCAGCCCGGGTGACCCCAGGTGCCGACATCGGGGCACAAAGAAGGAGGCGCCTCGAGGACCCGGGGCCCCTGTTGACCCCAACTCCAACCTCCTTGACGCCGCCCTCAGTCAAGGGACATGGGGTCCAAGTCAGTCCCCATGCCAAGTAAGCCGTGTCAGCCCCCTGTGCCCCGGCCTAGCCACCTGTGAAGTGGGGCGGACCCCTGACCGGCCACAGTCAGTGACAATGACGGGGAGCCCCTGTCCCTGCTGCGCTTGAAGCTCAGGGCAGGAGCGGGCCAGGCCGAGTGGAGACCTCCAGCCTGGTGCCCACTGCTCGTGGGGAGACCGAGGCCTGGGCTCAGTGTCTCCTTAGGGCGAGACGGTGGCAGGGCCGTTCCCTGAATCTGACCCTGGCCACTGGGCTGTGCTCTCAGACACACGTCTGCCGAGGGCATTTCCAGAGAGGTGCCACCAAGCCATCTGCCAGCTTGTCTGGGAAGACTGCCATGTCCGCCAAAGGGGCCCAGACAGGGAGCCATGAGCTATGCTCCAATTCTACTTTCCCTTTTCTCCACTCCGCTGGGAAGCTCATCCGTGGGGCTTACGTCACAGCCATTTCAGCCCCGCTAGGTTAGTGTGTACATATTAGTTCTTCTCCCAGTTCACACCCTGTGTGTGAGACCTGTCTCTCATTCTCTCACTCTCTCAACCATTGTCTTCGCCCCTGCCAGACACTGGGATAATCTCTCTTTAAGTCCTCCCAAGGGTTACCGAAGGAGGGATGTTGCCATCTTCCCATTTCCTAGGTGGAGAAACTGGGGTCCAGACGGGGGAAATGGCTTGTTCAGAATCAGACGGCCAATGACCGAGAGCCGACCCGCCCTCCAGAGACCAGGCTCTGGGCTGGCCCGGGCCCGGTTCTTAAATCCCCCAGCCCTGCGGGGCCAGCTCAGCCCACTCCAGCCCCTACCTTGAGCGTGTCCCCCTTGTTGAAGGCCAGCTCGTCGCTCTCTGTGGCCTGGAAGCTGTACAGGGCCACGGACTCCATTCCGCCGACCCCGGCCCGCCGCAGGGCTCAGCACAGGCCGGCCGTGGCTTCCTGCTTCCCCTGCGCCCGGCTGGCTTCCTTTGCTCTGAGCGCCCGTCTGCTCCTCTGAGGCTGAGACTGAAAGCAGCCGCTGTGATGGGAGAAACAGGAAGCAGAGACGAGTCACGGAGCGGGGGTGTGTGAGCGGCCGGTCCCTGCCGCAGGGGCCTGCCCGCCTGTACCCACAGGGGGTGCCACGCCGAGGCACCGGGAGAGATGCCCAGAGCCACCGCCAGCTCAGATGCGCCTGGGGCCCGGCCACGCTCGCCAGCTCGCCAACCTGCCCTCCACGTTTTTGAAAACCTCTTTCCTTGGGGCCAGCAGGTAGTGTGGTGGCTAGGTCTGACCGTGGCCAACCACGGTTCAAGTCCCAGGCCTGGTGGCTTGCTTCCTCGCTTTCCCTTTCTCTTTATATCTGTCCCTCTCTTGTAAACATATGTGCCCTATAACGAATTAAAAATAATAAGAAGAACAAGATTAAAATAAATTATGAAAAATTCCTTTCTTTATTCATGATAGAATGAATAAAGATGACATCAGCTGCATTCAGGGTGGCCGTAGCCATGACAGAACACGCGTGTGCACACGTGACAGTGAGACGGACGGAGAGGGGTGCCCTGCACAGGGAGTGGTCACTCCGTCACCCTCTTCCTCCAGTCCTCCAGCCGGCCCGAGCTTGGGCCCCTGAGCATGCACTGGTGTGTTCAGGCTGACCGGGTGCCTGGGCCGGGGATTCGAACCAGGGTTGCCATGTGGGATCCGGCTTCTTTTGAGCAGTCCATCACTGCTGTGCCGTGGAGCGGGCCCTGCCCTCCGCATGTTCTAAACCCTGATGCTGCTGGTGACTCCGCGCATGGCTTCATCCATCCCGAGCCCCCAGCCTGCCGTTCCGGGCCCTCCCACGCCACCAGCCCCGCCAGCCGCCTACGCCAGGCCGTTCCCTGTCACCGTGAATGCACTCTGGCTCTCTCCCCAGCCCTCACAGGCCCTCCGCCTTCCTGGGGTTCTTTCCTTCTTTGCTCCCAAAGACTCTATTTGTCCATCAAAGCCCAGCTCACGAGATACTTCTGTTTCAAACACTGGGTTGTATATCCTACCGTTAAAAAATTGAAAGTATGGGAACAGCAGTTGGCGTAATGGCTATGTCGCTGGACTCCCACGTAGTTGACTGTGGTTCGAGTCCCGGACCCGGTGGCTTGAAACTCACGCTGGGCACGTGTGTGCGTGTCCAAGATCCCGAGAAGAATATGGAGGAGAAGGGATTGTGGCGTGGCCATCCCCCTGGGGGGTGATTTCTTGCTTTTTGTCTCTGTCTCTCTTTGTCTTTCTGGCGAGCGTACACACCCTATAGCAAAAACCTCTGCAAGAAAAAATTGAAAATAGGAGCCGGCAGATGGTGCAGAGGTTGAGGCACTGGATCCCACACAGATGACAGCGCAGTTCAAGTCCCAGGCCCAGTAGCTTGAAAATGTTGCTGGGCACATGTGTGTGCATGTCCAAAATGCCAAGAGGAGAATGGAGGAGGGATTGCAGTGTGGCCCCCCTTCTGGGGGTGGTGGTGGTTTCTCACTTTTCTTCTCTCTGTGTCTTTCAGGCAAGCACACGTACCCTATAGCAAAAATCTAAAGTTAAAAAAAAAAAAAAAGAAGATTGCAGGGACCAGCAGTTAGCGTAATGGCTATGTCGTTGGACTCCCATGTAGTCGACCACGGTTCGCGTCCCGGACCCAATGGCTTAAAGCTCACGCCGGGTGCGTGTGCGTGCATGCCCAAGATCCCGAGAGGAGAATGGAGAAGGGATTGTGGCTTGGCCATCCCCCCAGGGGGTGATTTCTCGCTTTCTGTCTCTCCGTCTCTCTCTGCCTGTCTGGCGAGCGCACGCGCCCTGTCTTTAGTGGATTCACTGTGGGCAATGTGTCCGTGTAGCGCGTTGGAAAGGATCTCATGAACACCGCAGAATGGCGTGTAAATGGGTCAGCGTGGTGATGCCTGGAGCCGCCTTCCTCAGCGTGGGAGGAAGCAGGAGCCCTGTGGGGAGGGAATGCGTAGGTCGGATGGGGTCAGGCTTTTCCTATGAAGCTTTCCCTTATTGCTGTCCACGTGGACTCGATGGATTAGAGTCCGTGGCTACCGTCCAAGGCTCTCGGTATTCATCGCGATGCTCATTTGGCCCGTGGGAGGCCTTCCAGCTGGCTTCTCATCCTCGTGCCCTGACCCCGTGGTCCCTGCACGCACCCTGACCTCCGGGCTCATCAGGACCTTCCCGGTCTTCTCTCCAGGGGACGCGGGACATGCAGGCCGCCCTGGGTCTTCATCGTGCTAACCTCTCCTGAGGTGCCTTCGCTCCCAGACCCTCTCAGCAGACGTCACACACACACAGAGCCAGCACCGGGCCTAGTGGCCGAGGGAGCGGGTTCCACATGGCTGAGCACAGTTCAAATCCTCACCCCCGTTACAGTGAACTGTTCTGGCCTAGCATGGCCCCTGGACTCCCACGTTTGGATCCCTCTGGAGAAGCCGAAATCGTACCTGGTCGGCTGTTTTTATATATGTTTTCGAGCTGGTTCCTGGGTTACAGCCAGTCATGGGAGCCACATACCGGCCGGTCACCGTGAGCCCCGCGTTTGGGC